GCTTCGCATAGGATAGTATGGTCTAGTGTAGTATAGTTCAGTTTAGTATACTGGCTTGCATCGTCCCACAACCCGAAACTCTGCACTCCACGACAGCCCGACCTCCAAAACCATAGCCTGAACCGAAAACTGCCCCCCTGCGCAAGACAATCCATGCTAGGTTTTTTGTTTTTAGGGTTTAGGGTTTAGGGTTTAGGGTTTAGGTTTAGGGTTCCATGCTAGAGGCCTTGGCAACCGCCTTGCTCAGATCTTACGAACCGTGTCACTCTGAGCAATCGTATCTATGGGGTCTCCAAACCCTAGTTCATCCCTAAATCCCAAAGAAACCCAGTGTGCCGCACCAACATCATGCAAACTCTAAACCCTAAACCCTAAACCCTAAAAAACCCTAAAAACCCTAAACCCTAAACCCTAAAAACCCTAGCCTTGGCCCTGAAAGCCTTCAAACAAGAATCAGTCGGCACCCCAGAGATATTGGGCGCTTCAAAAATCGGGCCTGAACAGTTGCCTCAGGGTGTTGGGGTGTAATGTAGGGGCCTTATTGATTAGGGTTTGGGGGTAGAGTATACTAATCATGTAGTAAGGAACCCTAAGGAATAACATTGGTAAGTATTTAGGCCTCTATATTAGTATGATTGCACGAAGTAGCTCTCAGCAGTGCCTATAGGATGTGCTTGGCTTCATGGAAGGCGGAATTGCGATCAACACAAACTTGCTCAATCGGGACGACAGGACAGTATTATTCTAAGTAAAGTAGCTGAGTCCGTCGGGCGCGCCTGCTTCACAGCCAGCTTGTAGAAAGGGATGTCTGCCTCCTCCATGACCCTGAAGGGCTTTAGGGTTTAGGGTCTATGGTTCCCCTAAACCCTAAAATCTAGGGTCTAAACCGTCCGTATACCCTACAGACAACTCCAAAGCATGAACCCTAAAGCCTAATCCCTAAACCCTAAACCCCCTAAACCGCAATTAGGTTTAGCGGCCAGCCGGCTCCGAGTTAGAGAAGATAAGTTCAGGGGCTCAGGGCTTCCTTTGGGGTTGCGTTTTGTATAGGGTGGATCGGTTTGGGACTCGCTTTGGGCTTGGGGTTGGGGTCTATGGTGGCCTTGTTGACAGCTTCTGCTTCAGGGCTCGGCGTAACCCTAAACCCTAAACCCTAAACCCTAAACCCTAAACCCTAACCCTAAACCCTATAAGCCCTGAACCCTAGACCCTAAACCCGCGAGTGCCTTTTCGCAGTGAGCCCATCGCCATGTGGGTGCCGTGCCGAGCCACAGTGGAAGCCCGGGAGGCTGGCCTGGCCAAGAGAAAAAACAAAGCTGTCAGGGTTTAGGGTTTAGGGTTTAGGGTTTAGGGTTTAGGGTTTAGGGCCAAGAGAAAAAACAAAGCTGTCAGGCTTTAACCTTAGGTAGTATTATTAGGGGTACCACTTAAAGGGTACCCCTTTAAAACCCTACTTTTGGCTCTCTTAAAAGGGACCTTATTGAGAGGGTCTATATCCCCAAGGGTCCCCCTAATCCTAGCTCCCAAACGTAATGTAGCTGTAATCTAATGTAGAAGCCTTAACAATTAGAATAGGGTTTGGGGGGTATATTATGCAATAAATAAACTACGGAAGCTCTAACATAGTACTGGTAGTTATTTAGGCTCCTATAGCACTTTAACCAAAGATAAGGGGGCTTTGGCTTGGCTGTTCGTTTGTTTCGAGCTTTTGGTGTTGGCGACTTTACGCTTAGTTTTGCGGTTTGATGGTTCGCAACCTGTAGGGTTTATCCCAGGCTGTCCAAGGGGAACTGCTTCTTCTACAACAAGAGAAAGAACACTGACTACACTGGTCTTAAACAAACATACACTACGACCAGGATCTTGGGTGGCGACAGAAAAATGACAGCAACAGCAACAGAGGTTGCAGCAAAGCAAGCTCAAGCAGAAGAGTCAACCTCTGAGAAACAAGACACGATGGAGTACGAAACTGATGCTGAGCCCAAAGCCACGTAAGCCAGACTCGCAAGCCCCGGTCAATGCCAGGCCACATGTGGACAAAAAACAAACACATGCTAAGCTTCCAGGAAGCTCTGAAGCCACGACCCACCAGGAATCTATCAGGCCGGTGACTGACCCAGTACTTCGGCGCCCTGTCAACCCCCTAAACCACAAAAACCCGAAGCCTAAACCCCTAAACCCTAAACCCTAGGCCCCAAGCCCCAAACCCTAAACCTAAGCCTGAAAAAACCATAGAACCCGAAGCCCCAAAGCCACAGGGGGGCGCCTGGCAACAGCCTCGGAGTTCAGAGGGTTTTGGGGCTTCCGTCTTCTCGCAGCTGGGTTTAGGGCTTCGAGCTTCGGGCGGGCTTAGGGTTTGGGGTCTAGGGTTTAAAGTTTAGGGTCGGGCTTGGGTTCCTGCGAGGGCTACTAGAAAAGTAGGGCGTGCAGTGCTTTAGAATTTGAGATCAAGACAACAGTTCCGAACGGCTTGGGACTTTCTCTCTACTGCTTGCGTCTTGCGGATGTCGCGTTCAAGGCTATGTGGGTGTGATATAAGGGGGTAAGTTATCGTGTAGTGTCATGCAGCTATAGAACTTTGAGGTGAAGGGATTGCAAAGCATTTCGGCCACTATCGTAGGACTTGGGTTGAAGGCCTCACGGATTTGGATGCTCAGGGTGCAGGGCTTTCTGCTTTCTGCCGCTGATCTTTGAGTCCCCCAGTAGCGGGGGACGAGGATGAAGGACTCTAGCGTGAGCATGACGCTGCAATTCATGGCCACATGCTGTGTTGAGTTCGCAATCTGCATTTCAGGCGAAACCGCGCGTATCGCAACACAATCAAATCGAAAGAGATTACGCCCTGAAAAACCATCGAGCCATAACGATTGTGACAAACAAGCGGGAGCTCAGGATAACCGTAGGACCTTGGGACAGACGGGGATACGGCTAAGCGGCCCAAAGTATTTAGGGACTGACGTGTTTGTTCTCTCCGAAGCTTCGCCAGCCTGTGCCGATGTCCCTGAGCTTTCTACCTTCCAATCCAGGTCCCAAAGCCTTCAAGCACCCTCAACCCTAGTCGCTTAAACCTTTAACCGCTTACTTAGCCCTAAACCCGTCAACCTAAACCTGAAACCCTAAACTTGTAGCCTTTAACCCCCCCCCTTCGACCCCCTAAACCATGAACCTTTATCTCCTTCAGCCCTGCGCCCCCCCCTTGGGAGTCCGAGTGGCCTTTGCCCACCAGCCAGAAGTCGTAGGTCACCTCACTTTTGGAGTATCCCGGGGGGTTTTAAATTTAACGGGCTCCCTTTGTTCTCCAATTGTGGTAGGCTCTTAAACTCTACACCCTGAAAGATTGCAGGTTGTCTGCTGCTGGGTCATCTTGGTATCGCACTTTCGAGGCTTCGAATGCTTCAAGTTCGGGGTTTTTTGGAGGTTCAGGGCTCAGGGGTTAGGTCTCAACTGTTCGCTCCCATTCTTGCAGTTCAACCATAAAGAAAGCCTTTGCGGGATTCGAGAATCTAGATTAGGGTTTAGGGTTTATCTAGAGCAGCATGATAGAATCTTTTTGATGCCTTGGAGGCCTCCTGTGACAAAAAAATCCGAGTGACACGTGCATTGGTCCATACTTCCGTTCAGTTTTCCAGGCTCCGATGCTAATGTAGGGGCTTTGATAATCAGAATAGGGTTTTGGGGGCTGGAAATTTTAACTATAGTATAAGATACCCCAAGCCCTATTCTAATTACTAAGGCCGCGAAGTATATCTTTCGCCTCCACCCCTCACCCCAACCCTGAGCACCCCAAGCCCTCAACGCCAAGCCGGAGACCCCAAACACTGACCCCTCAACCCTAAACCCTAAACCCTAAAACCCTAAACCCTAAAACCCTAAACCCTAAACCCTAAACCCTAATCCCTAAACCCTAAACCCTAATCCCTAAACCCCAAACACTGGAGGAGCCAAGTCGCCGGAGGGATCTCGCCCATCTGCAGCGGTGCGGCACACCAGAGCCTCTCATCCGACTGTTGGCTAGGGATTCTAGGGGTTCAGGGTTTAGGGATTAAAGGGGTTTAGGGTTTAGGGATGAAGGATTGTAGGGGTTTAGGGTTTAGGGTTTATAGGGGTTTAGGGTTTAGGGTTTAGGGTTTAGGGATTAAGGATTGTAGGGGTTTAGGGTTTAGGGGTTTAGAGTACAGGTTCTCAGGAGGCCCGCGAGCACCTGCTTCGAGTTAGGGTTTCAGCCAACAGCTGCAGGCTTGCGGGAGTCGTCGAAGGTCACGGTTCGCCAGATTTCTGGGTCTCGCCTGTAGGACCAATGTAGGGCCTTTAAAATTAGAACAGGGTTTTGGGGTCCTTGATGGTAGAATTAGAAGAAGGAACCACAGTGTAGATAATTTTTGAGGCCCCCAAACTAGACCCGAAACCCTAAACCCTCAATAGGCGAAGCCTTTAGGACTAGATATAAGGGTCCAGGCGACCCAAGGACCTAGGGGCTTGTGGCTCTTGCGGGAGGCCTTGGCTCGTAGGGCTTTCAGGTCAACAATGTCACGGTTTAGGGTTTAGGGTTTAAGGGTTTTGGGATTTGGGTTTAGGGGTTTTCGGTTTAGGGTCTTCTTGTTTGCTCAAGCTGCGCAGCCTACTGGGTTCGGGTTGGGCACATTGTTTGCCTTCGTTTGTTGCGAGGCCCCGACCAACCCCTCGAGTCTAGAGCCCTGTGACCCGATATACGACTGGTTCGGGGTTTCGGGAGGTGTAGAAGGCCTAGCTTAACATCCGTGTGATTGACAGGTCCTGACTTATATCAGATGCGAGACGCACTGTACTGGGCTATATCCTGGGTTCCGCCAAACACCTGAATAATCCCGGCAACCACGGGAGCCTAGTGTAATACACTTGACGCTCTGAAGAGGGCTGTCTACTACAACTTCAGGCAGGCTCATTAGCCATCGGAGCTTACGGCAAAACTGCTAGGACTTAAAAGGCATACTCCGAATGGGCTGAGGCTTCTGCTCTTGATCCTTGAAGCCCATGGAGATGTTCAGCATGGCGTGGGTACCTGACCGTTTCTCCAGTGCTTGAATCAGGCCTGAAAGTTTGGAAGGTCGACCCCCGCTCAAAAATGGCTTTAGGGTTCAGGGTTTTCAAAAATCCGTGCTTTCGCAACTCCATAGTAAGACACTGCAATTATGAGGTCGGGAGGCTGTTCCTGGATGAGAACATGCCTTGTAACATTGTAAAGTGAATGGTTCTGTCAACCACGACCATCGCCACGTAGAAACCTAAAACCAAAACGGTTCCTGGAAATGGATCCGACCTGTCACAATCGACGGCATCAAGGCTCCTGGCTCAAGGATACCTTTGCTAATGTAGGGGCCTTAATACTTAGAATAGGGTTTTGGGCGCCCTTTTTTCTCTTTTAAGAATGGGGAACCCCCACAATGGTATGGGTAATTATTTAGGCCCCTACATTACGATGCCTCGGGCGCTATAGGGCTCTGAACCTGCTGCGGTCGCCAACTGCCAACCCCAAGGGCTCAATACCCAAAACCTACCAAAAACCTGCTTTTTTGGGTAGGGTCCACATAAATTCCACATTCGGATTTAAAATGCGAAACTACAAAAAAGCTTGGTTTTGGTAGGCTAAGCTTGACCCCTGAAGTCCTAGCCCCCAAACCCAAGGGCCTCAACCCTTCATTCCTTCACCCTTTAGAGCACTAAACCCCGAACATAAACCGAAACCCTAAACCCTAAAGCTCTAAGCCTCTAAATCCTAAACCCTAAACCCTAAAGCCCTAAACCCCGAGCAAAAACCTAAACCCTAAACCCTAAAGCCCTAGACCTCTAAATCCTAAACCCTAAACCCTAAAGCCCTAAACCTCTAAATACTAAACCCTAAAGTCCTAAACCTCTAAACCCTAAACCCTAAAGCCCTAAACCTCTAAATCCTGAATCCTAAACCCTAAAGCCCTAAACCTCTAAAGCCTAAACCCTAAAGCCCTAAACCTCTAAACCCTGACGCCCAAAGCCCTAAACCTCGAAACCCTAAACCCTAAAGCCCTATACCTCTAAATCCTAAACCCTAAACCCTAAAGCCCTAAACCTCTAAATCCTAAACCCTAAACCGTAAAGCCCTAAACCTTTAAACCCTAAACTCTAAAGCCCTAACCTCTAAATCCTAAACCCTGAAGCCCTTCAACCCCAAAGTCGCAACAGCTCGGCGCACCCGGCAGGAAGTTGATGGAACCCGCATCCATGAGCTGAGCTCCCCTGAGCGACTTCTGGCAGTTCTACCGTCCCTGACTTGTTGGTCTGGGGTTTAGGGTTTAGGGTTCAGGGTTTACTTATCTAGCGTTCCTGAAAAGGGATCCTTGAAAGGGATCTAGAGGGGTTCCTTCAAGGGCTCCTTAAAAGGGATCTATAGGGAGTTCCCTCAAGGGCTGCTTAAAAGGAATCTATAAGGGCTCTTTCAGGGTACTTAAAGGACCATCGGACTCAGTAACCAGGGATATTATTGGGTTTAAGGTACATTTAACCATACTCGCTACATCCCAGGATCCTTCACGCAGGGTTGAGGGTTCAGGGTTTACGTGGAGGGTTTACTGGGTTTCTGCGTCTTTTCGTATATACGTAAAAACTTCGGTTTTTTGGCATCATAAAGAGAGATTTTATGGCAAATAACATGCCTGCTTTACTATGGTGACTGTAATAAAGCTCTTTCGCAAGAAACGTTTCAGGTGTATAGGGCTTAAGGCGTCAGAACTCAAGGCGTCACACCTGTGGCACAAGAGCGCACCACACATGCATGAGCTTCAGGTGCGAAACGAACAGGCCTGGTTGGAATGCAGTGCAAGGCAATCTAACATAACGTAATGTAACTCAATATGATTAAACACACCGTGTTACATTATATTAAATATGTGGTGACCTGTTCGGTTTAAAAAGTTTAAAGGTTTTTGAAGGAGGTGCATGAGAGTTCGTGATGAGTCTCCTGCCTGAGCTGAGCTGAGATGACTGGGATCCCTAAGTTCAGCTCCAGAACGCTCTCGGGATCTCGGGTTTCGGGCTTAAGGCTTAAGATTAGATCTGTTAGTCCCCCAAGCCCGGAACCCCATAATCTTGGAACCTCCTGAACGTCTTCACATAGCGGCCTTAGTAATTAGACTAGGGTTTTGGGGTACATCATAGTACAATCGTAACTGAACCTTCAATTAAGGGATATCCTAAACCCTAAACCCTAAACCCTAAACCCTAAACCCTAAACCCTAGACCCTAGACCCTAAACCCAAAACAAACATCAGGCTTCTAGAAACAACTCTTTCCGCGCGAGCCTTGACACATCCGGATCGACGCCTCCCAGGGAAGAGCTGTAGGAAACCATGTCTTAGAGAAACGCGCATGTACGCTTTAGCGTTTTCGGCTTCAGGCTTTAGGGTTTAAGTTCGGGGTTTAGGACTGTGATGGGTTGAATTTAGCGTTGTGGAGCTTGGAATGTAGCTGTTTAGGTTGAGGCTTAGAGGTTTTGGGGTTTAGGCGGTCAGGGGTAAGGTTTCAAGGGTGCGGGGTTTACAAGGGCTTCTTGTAGGATTTTAGGGTTTTGGGCTTCGCGTTTACACTTTCAAGGTTCCTGTCTTCAGCAAGGGATTTGGGGGTTTAGGATTAATAACAGTTTACGGGCTTGGGGTTGTAGGGGAAACACTTACGCTCCCAAACCTGAAACCCCTAAACCCCGAAACCCCTAAACCTGAAACCCCTAGCAAACCCCTAAACCCTAAACCCCGAAACCCCTAAACCTGAAAGCCCTAAACCCCGAAACCCCTAAAACCCGAAACCCCTAAACTAAACCCCCTAAACCCCTAAACCGCTAAAACCCTAAACCCCTAATCCCCTAAACACCTACTTATCCCTGATCCCCTAATCCCCTAATCCCCTAAACCCCTAAACCCGAAACCCCTAAACCTGAAACCCCGAAACCTGAAACCCCGAAACCTGAAACTCCGAAACCTGAAACCCCGAAACCTGAAACCCCGAAACCTGAAACCCCTAAACTAAACCCCCTAAACCCTTAAACCCCTACAACCCTAAACCCCTAATCCCCTAAACACCTACTTATCCCCTAATCCCCTAACCCCTAAACCCCTAAACCCGAAACCCCTAAACCCGAAACCCCTAAACCCGAAACCCCGAAACCTGAAACCCCGAAACCTGAAACCCCGAAACCTGAAACCCCCACACCCGAAACCCCCAAACCCGAAAC